ATTGAGTAATCGATCGACTCATAAGATTTTTTTTGTGGTTGTTTTATTTTGAATTAGGTGTTGATTTTCTTATAATCACTTTTGATTATAAGTGCTTTTTTATATCAATACATCTCAAAGGAAAATTCGATCGCACACCAAGTGTTCGACAAATTGTTTTATTTGTTCTTTTGTTAGTTACCATTGGAAATAATATTGATAGTAACTTGCTATAAACGATTACTACTCTGTTAATTGATTTAAGTTTATAAAAAAAAAATTGTGTTTTTCATTCCATAAATATCTTTATATTTTCATATTCGACGTCCAATAGCTAGGTTCATATAGACGACATTTTTGATCTATATCAAAATCTTTCGCGTTACTCTTTTTAACTATCTTTGAAACCAGAGTTTTTATCTGAATTTTTTGGCTTGGTGATCTATTCACCCCTCCCTCTAGATAAGGTGACATCGTCTAACAAGTGACATCAAGAGCCTTGTTCATTCCAGCTTCAAAACTTATTAGAAAATGGCGTACAAACCTAAAGGGGATTATAAAAGAGCCCCAATTTTTACGGGAGAAAATTATAGTTATTGAAAAGCTTGTATGCAAATTCATGTCAACTCATATGACAAAGATGTGTGGGAAGCCATTCAAAATAGTCCAACACCGGTGACATATTAGGTTGAAAGTGTTGTTACACCTAAGTCGGAAACATTATGGAATGAGGAAGATAATAAGAAGTGGTCACATAATTGGAAAGCGAAAAACATTATCATATTCACTCTTGATGTTGATGAGTTTTATCGCATTTCCTGTTGTGAGACTGCTAAAGCTATGTGGGATACTCTACAAGTTATCTATGAGGGAACTAATGAGGCCAAATAAGCTAGAATTAATACACTTAATCAAGAGTTTGAACTCTTTCGCATGAAGCATGGTTAAACCATTGCTCAAATGCAAAAGTGACTCTTGCATCTTATTAATTATTTAAATTTGCTAGGTATTCCTATTTCCAATGTTATTTCTACTAACAAGGTTTTGAGATATCTTACTAGGAATTGGAAACCGAAGGTCACCGCGATAAAGGAAGCCAATAATCTTGCAACACTTGATTTGACCACTTTGTTTGGAAATTTGGAAGAAACGAGCAAGAACTCACTTGCTTGGATAAACTTGAAAAGAAGCTTGAGAAAAAGAAGAAAAAAGAGAAAGACACTGATAAAGAGGAAGGAAAGAATTCTAAAGCTCTTAGGGCTTAAAGTTCAAGATCCTCAGATAATGAGAACACTAATGATAGTATTTCTTGTGATGAAGAAGATTCAGATGATGAATTATTTGTGAGAAGGTACAATCGATACATTCAAAAGAATGGTGTCAAACACTCCGATAAAAATCTTGTGAAATTTAGAAAACAATCTACATCCTCTAAAGATGAAAATAGCAAAAAGGATAAGACAAGAGGTGTGTGCTATGAATGCGGAAAGTTGAGTCATTTTAGACCGGATTATCCATCTCTTGCTAATATGGAATGAAAGAGCCAACGAAACAACTCTATAAATTCTAGAAAAGCCTATTTTGCTTGGGATAGCGATTGTGATGCCTTGAGTAATGAAAGCTCAAGTGATAGTGATGAAGAGGCAAATTATCGTTTCATGGCTAATCAACGTCAAATCAAGAAAAAGAATATAAGTCATTCTAAATACTCCAATGTTGATAGGTTTTATTTTATTAAATTGAAAAATGTGTCTGAAAATCTAAAAAAAGAGGCATTACATGCTTATAAGAAATTAGCTTCCAATGATTTTTTTTTACATATTTGAAAGCAAAGGTTGAAGAAAACAATAAGAAATTTTAAGCATTAAAGTGATCTATTGTAGATAGTCAAAATCATAAAAAGGAGAATGAGGAATCATGTCGTCTCGATTGTGAAACTTGTCAAATTTGGCAACAAGAGGTGAGTACTCTTGAAACAAAAGTGGACAAGGCATCACAATCTTGTGTTACTTTTGCTATTAATTCTTCAAAGGTTGAAAAGCCTTATAAAAAGTATAATTTTATTAAGAAGGATTCAAATAGAAAATTTAAATATCAACATAGGTTGCTTTATCACTATTGTTGCAAGAAAGGTCACACCATTGAAAAATGAAAATTTAGGTGCCTTTTAGTTCCTAAAGGCAATTTCGAATTGTTTCCCAAAAGCAAAAATTCTTTCACTCACTCCCAAGGACCCAATGAGAATTGTGTACCTATAACTTTTGTTTGATTTTGTAGGTTGAGTGTCTTGATGCTATGACGGGAAGATGGATTCTCAATAGTGGATGTTCAAGACACATGATAGGAGACATTTCTTTATTCTCTGACTTTATGGAGAAGAAGAAAGGTTATGTATCCTATGATAATTACAATAAAGTTGCAATACTTGGAAAAGGTAGTATAGATAATACCTCAACTGTTATTATCTCAAATATTATGTTAGTTGAAGGCCTTAGACATAGCCTTCTTAGCATTAGTCAATTGTATGATAATGGGTATAAGGTAACTTTTGCCAAAGAGTGTTGCATGATAGTACATAATGAAAATAAGGATTGTATGTTTAATGGTGTTAGGGTAGATAATATCTATATGCTTGACTTAAGAGAAGGTTCCTTGAATAATGCCCAATGTCTTGTTACCATGAGTGAAGACTTTTGGCTATGGCATAGACGTTTGGCACATATCAATTTTGATCTACTTAATAAAATAGTTGCAAAAGATTTAGTAATTGGTCTACCTAAAATAAATTTCTCAAAAGATCACTTATATGATGCGTGTCAAAAAGGCAAATAAACAAGAGTTTCTTTTAAATATAAAAAATTTATTTCAACGTCGAGACCTCTTGAGCTCCTTCACGTGGATTTATTTGGACCATCACGGACCAAAAGCATAGGTGGAAACTACTATGGTTTTGTAATTGTAGACGATTACTCTAGATTTTGTTGGACTATTTTCTTACGTAGCAAAGATGAAACACTTGCGGATTTTACATTTTTTTTCAAGTTATCCTAAAATAAATTGAATTCTAAAATTGTTGTCATCCGAAGCGATCAGAGAGCTGAATTTGAAAATTACCTCTTTGATGAATATTGTAATAAATTTGGTATTGAACATAACTTTTCAGCTCCTAGAACTCCACAACAAAATGGTGTTGTGGGGTATAAAAATTATGTTTTAGAGGAGTTGGAAAGAACAATGCTCAATGATTGCGGTCTACCAAAATATTTTAGGGCCGATGTTATTAGCACGGCATGTTATGTCTTAAATATGGTGCTTATTCGTCCTATTTGTAAGTAATAAGTGCGTCTAAGAGAGGGTGAATTAGGCACTTTAAAATTTTATCAGTTTTTAGTGATGTTGGAATTATTTTTCTGGTTTATGGTGAAGTTATATGAAAGTAATAAAGCGCAGAAAAATAAATGACACGGGGATATATCATTGGTTCCCTTCAATCTTAAGGTACGTCCAGTCCCCTTTCAACACAAAAAAGATTTCATTATTGTTAAGACTTGTACAAGACTAACCATAATCACAAGAACAATCCTCTTGTGAACCATTAAGTTGAAACGAGAACAATCGTCTCACTTCCAATAATATGGAAAAATATTAAGTTAGAAAGTATATGAAAATGTATCAATCAATAAGATTGATCTTCCCTTCTAAACAAGCAATTTATAAGGGTAGTATAGTGCTCAAGTATTTATGAATACAAGGTGAATTTTTCTGGACTAATATGGAGACAAATGCATAATTTTTTTTATGAAAGTTTAAGAATAAAAAACACTTGTTTGAAATTTGAATGAATATAATGATGTTAAATTGCAATGAAAGAGGTCAATTTTAAATCTGAAAAAGTAGGATATATGTAACACCTTAACACCTCTATAAATGAGTGTGATTCAGTGATTCAGTGAAAGAGGTTAAGGTATGCGATTTTCAAAATGTTTAGATGCAAAATAGACTTGAAATGCTACTGCCAACTCAGGAAATCGATTTTAAAATATGGGGTAATCAATGCAAATGATTTTTCAAAAAATCGTGAAAGAAATCGATTTCCAGATATAGGGTAATCGATTTCCATAACTAAACTTTGTTTACTGGAAAAGGCTGGCAGGCTGAAAAAAGAAGAGGAAATCAATTTCCCATATTGGGGTAGTCGATTTTCTGAACTGTTTTTTGAAAAAATATTTGTTTTTCAGTGCAGAAATAGATTGAAACTTTTAGTTAAACCTTGTTATGCATGCAAGTGAATATTTAGAGAATATTGAGCACTAAGTTATCAATATAAATGCATGCTTGTATCTCTATCAATTAAGATCCAAGCTAGTCTTCAAAGTACAATTCTTGAGTTTATTTGATGCTAGCTTTCATTATGATGAGTCTTGCACTTAAGGATTTTTCCATACTTTTTGAGAAGATTATTTGAATTGCACTTTGTACTTTGTCTTCATCAAAACACATTGGATGAAGAGTCTTGACTTCACATTCTCCCCCTTTTTGATGATGAGAAACAATTGAAGCTTTATGATCAATGTTCTCCCTAGAAATAATTTCTCCCCCTTGATCCATGCATCCACGTATGAGAGTTGTTTTACAATTCAAATCTTGTTGTATATTTTGTTAGAGAAAGAAATAACATAATAACATAATAACTTTTTCCCCTTTGTCATTAGCAAAAAGGATGGAAAAAGTTTCAAGATTGAAACATTAAGCATAATAATAGCAAAGTATAATCTATCACACAAAGCATAGAGAAACCATAGCATAATTAACAACCATAACATAACAAGAGACTTGAAAACATAACATAATAGACTAAGTCTTTAACAACAAAATAAAAACTACAAGGAAACAACATTGTCTTAGAGAGCAATAACATAAAGATAAACATAGACAAAACATTTAAAGAAAACATAAGTAAATGAGACAAAAACATATTAGTCACTTTCATCCATTTCTTCACTATCCTTATTCCCTTCTTTCTATTTCTCTTCTTCATCCTTACTTTGATGATAGTTTTGTTGTTTGATAAAGTTTAGGTCATCGCGAATAGCCCTAAGTTCAGACGAGTGACAAATATCTATCTCATGTAATTTGTTATAGAGAAATTCTATGGTATATCCACCTTCGGGGGCGGGAGGAGGAGCATATACGTTTTCCCCATCCGTATGCTTGAAGATTCCATCCACATCCTTAAAAAATGTCATGTTCTTTAAACAATTGCTACTAGTGATCACACTTGTATTTCCCATTTTCTTAGTAGGTTCCCGATGCAAACTAATTCCACAATTTTCCAAAATCCTTGTAATTGCTCTAGCATAAGGATAACCACTTGTCAACCCTTTGGAGTATTCCATATGATGGAGAATTACATAGGCCCAATTGATTTTCATATCATTCTTCATAGCAAAGAGAAGCATCATTTCCAAATCGCTAATTTTAATGTAATTGTTCCCTTTTGGAGCAAGCACATAAGCGAGAAAGTAGTGAAGCATAAAGTCACTTACTGACAAATTTTTGCTTGACACTAACAGTTTGGTAGAGGATGAACGAGCTAGTCGAACATAAAATTCTTGTTGCATAATCCGATAAACGCTAAAGAAATAATCCATCTTATTGTAATTTTCCCAACCCAGAGTGTCAGGAGTAAAACCACGAACAATTTTGAAACCTTCAGATGGAACATCTAAAAAAGCGCCAAATTCTACCAATGACATAGAAATATCTTTACCTCTAACAATAGTGCTAAAAGCACAACCCAGATGTAGCGTAAAATGAGAGTAAAAATATCTAACCAAATCTGGATAATACAACTCCGAATCAGACACAAAATCCACAACCCCTTATGTTTCTAGCAAAGCAGGAAAAGTGAAACTATTAGAGGGAAAAGTTTCAAGTTTACCGAATTTTGGAAGGAGTATAGCCCTCTATCTAAAGTTTGTCGTTAATCTTCTCTGCTTCATAATAGGTTAAACTTTTTCTGGGTCAAAATCATGAGCATTAGAGCTTTCACAAATTTTTGCTTTTCCCTTTGCATGTCTAGAAGGAGCCACATAAGGAGCTTGGAGGAGTTAAGTTTTGAGAAGGGATTTTCGTTTTTGCCTTTGAGTGAGAAGAAGTGATTCTGAAAAATAACTTATTTGTGTTTAGGTGTGAGAAAATTGATATATATTGATTTTATGATAGTGAGATTTAAAGGAGATTGTATTCGTAAGTGGGGAGTTTTGAGTGAATAGTAAAGGATAAGTGCGAATGGGATTGAGTTCCAAGGAGTGGGTGGAAGGTGGAAGATGGGAGAGAGATGAAAGTTTGACTAACATTTAAAACAATCAAACAACTTAAATGGAAAGCTGAAAAATAAAACAAAAATTCGTACAGGAAATCAATTTTCCACATAGGGGTAATCGATTTCCATCACACAAAATGCATCAGAGGCCCAGGAAGTGAAAATTTTGTCTCAGGAAATTGATTTCTGCATAATGGATAATCGAATCCCGCATAAATTTTTTGCCAAATACAAAAAACAGTGGCAATGGAACATGAAATTTACCAAACATAACCACATAAAAAGTTACATAACATCTATATACATGTTTAGGCATCATGTAATCATATATTTTCATACAAAAACATATTAAATCATTGTTTCATAGATTAGGAAAAATTATGAAAATTTAAACAAATAAATACGTGTACCGGTTATCATATGTCTTTTTCATCCAAAATTCCCAATTCTCTTCGGATTTTGAAGAAAGGTTCTCATGCCAAAAAATTTGTGAATATGTCCGCGAGTTGATTATGAGTACCTACGAAAGTAACTTTGACATCTCCTTGAAGGACATGATCACGAAGAAAATGATGTCTTATGTCAATATGTTTAGTTCTTGAGTGCATGACTGGATTTTTTGTAATATTAATCACACTTGTCTTGTCATAACATAGAGGGATGCATCCTAGATCGAGTCTGTAGTCACGAAGTTGTTGCTTAATCCAAAGTATTTGTGTACAACAACTATCTGCTACTATGTATTTCTCATCAGTCGTGCTAAGAGCAACATGTGCTTATTTCTTGCAAGCCCATGATACTAATGCATTTCCAAGAATGTGGCATGTACCACTAATGCTTTTTCAATCATTTTTACTATCTTTTGGATACCATAAGCCTACGTTCGTTATTCTTTTGAGATACTTCATGATCCTTTTTACCGTCATGAGATGGGATCCCTTTGGATTTGCTTGAAAGTGAGCACAAAGGCAAACACTAACATAATGTCAGGATGGATTTCCGTCAAATATAACAATGAACCAATCATACCTCGATATTTTGTAACATTAATTGAAACACTAAATTCGTGTTGATCTACAATGTACCAGATCCCATAGGAGTAGCCATCTCTTTGCAACTATACATATCAAACTTTTTCAATAATTCTTTGCAATACTTATATTGATTGATTAAGATGCCATCCTTTAATTGCTTGATTTTTAGTCCAAGAAAATAGTTCATCTTACCCATCATAGACATTTTGAATTCTCTTTGCATCATCAATGAAAATTCTTCACATAGATATTTATTTGTTGAACTGAATATGATGTCGTCCATGTAGACTTGAACCAATAAAGTATTACCTTTGATTTTCTTAATAAATAAGGTTTTATCTACTTTAAATTATTTAAATCCTCTTTCGCATAGAAAGTTGCTAAGTCTATCATACCATGCTCTTGGTGCTTGTTTCAAGCCATAAAGAGCTTTCTTCAATTTAAAGACATGTGAAGGATTCTTGAAGTCTTCAAAACCAGAAGGTTGTTTGACATAGACTTCTTCACTAATATATCTATTCAAGACAGCGCTCTTGACGTCCATTTGGAAAAGCTGAAAATTTAATGAGCAAGCATAAGCAAGTAAAAGACGAATAGCTTTTAACCTTGCAACCAGAGTGAATTTTTCTTCAAAGTCAATTCCTTCTTCTTGATTATAACCTTGAGCCACCAATCTTTCTTTTTTTCTAAAAAATTATACCATTCTCGTCAAGTTTGTTTTTAAACACCCATCTAGTACTTATGATGTGTTTATCACTTGGCCTAGGAACAAGTTCGCAAACTTGATTTCTTTCGATTTGGTTTAATTCCTCTTGCATAGATATAATCCATTGATCGTCTCCTAAGGCTTCAGAAATCTTGGATGGTTCTATTTGAGAAACAAATTCCATGTTCAAGTAAGCACCTTTGAGATTTAGTCTTGTTGAAACTCTTTTGCTTATGTCACCAATTACTTTCTCAATTGGATGATCATGATGGGTTTTCCATTCTTGAGGAAGATAATTATGATTTGTATTTTGTTGTGAAACATCTTATTGGTGTTATGGTTGTTTCACACTTTGATCGATAGAAACTTCTTTTGAGGGTAATTTTATAATATCATCATCATCATCACAAACAACTATGTCCTCCTTAGAGGTGTTAGTTTCATCAAAAGAAACATGCATAAATTCTTCAATAGTTAAAATTCTTTTATTATAAATTCTATAATCTTTACTAGAGAGGGAAAAACCAAGAAATATACCTTTGTTAGATTTCTCGTCAAACTTACTGAGATTTTCTTTGTCATTTTTTAGCATAAAGCACTTGCATCCAAATATGTGAAAGCGAGCATTATTCGACTTTCTTTCTTTGAAGAGTTCATGTGGAGTCTTTTTCAAGATAGGTCTAATAAGGACTCAATTTTCAACATAACATGTTGTACTAACCGCATCTGCCCAAAAGTACTTTGGTAGATTTGCGTCACTAAGCATTGTTATTGTAAGTTCCATTAGGAATTGATTCTTTCTTTCAACTACTCAATTTTATTGTGGAGTCCTTGGTGCTGAAAAATTATGAGAGATACCATGTTCTTCACAAAATTCTTCAAAAGACGCATTTTGAATTTCTCCACCATGGTCACTTCTAATTGATACAATCTTCAATGACTTTTCATTTTGAATTTGATTTTCATACTTCTTAAAAGCCTTGAAAGCATCACTTTTCTGCACAAGAAACAAAGTCCAAGAATATCTAGAAAAATCATCAACGATAACTAAGGCATATACATTACCTCTGAAGCTTTTTGTTCTTGATGGACCAAATAAGTCCATATGCAACAATTGAAGTGGTATTTTTTATACCACATTCTTTGATTTGAAAGTTGATTTGGTTTGTTTTCCATTTGAACAAACATCACATAATTTATCTTTGACAAACTTTATCTTTGACAAACTTTATCTTTAGTAAACCAATGATAATATCATGTTTGGCTAGTTTATTTAAATGTTCCATATGAATATGGACTTCCCTTTTATGCCAAAGCCATGATTCATTGTTATTTATCATGAGAAATTTTACTTTCAAAGATAAATCATCTAAAGATATCATAAAAATATTGTTAATTCTTTTACCTTTGAGTTTTACCTCATTGGTGACTTCATTTATAATCAAACATTCATCTTTGGTGAACTTGATCTTGAAGCCTTTGTTACAAAGTTGGCTTATGCTTAAAAGATTATGCTTTAATTCTTCAACATAAAGTACATCTTCAATGGATGTGAAAGGTGGTGCACCAACTTTGCCAATGCCAAGAATTTTTCCCTTATTATTGTCTCCATAAGTGACAAAACCATTGGCCCTAAGCACTAGATTTGAAAATTTGCTTATATCTCTCGTCATATGCTTAGAACAACCACTGTCGAGATACCATAGATTTGTAGTGGTCTTCAAACAAGCCTACAAAACAAATTATGTCTGGTTAGGTACCCAATGTGCTTTAGGTCATTCATAATTAGTTTTTTTCTTAACCCACACATAATGTCCACTTGCTACACTAAAGTTTCTTACATAGCAAACATTAGATGTATGGCCACTTATACCACACTAAAAACATGTAGGAAAAAAAATTACTTCTATATCTAGGAACATAAGATTTATTTTTAGAAAATCTCTTCTTAGTTCAATGATGAACCTTTTGTGCTTTATTCATTTTTTCCTTGTTGGATTGATCACTTGCCTTAACAAAGATAGTTTTACTAGTATTTGGTTTGTTAGATTTAGAATAATCAATACCACTTTTATCATTTAAGTACCTTCATTGACTAAGGACATTTTCCAATTCAACTTGTCCTTTTTCATATCTTTCCAACTTTGCATGTAATATTTTGTTTCTCTTTTTCAAAAAAACTTTGTTTTTCAATTTCAAAATTATTTTCCATGGTGTCAATATTTTCATAAAGAGCAAGGTTGTCAGAATCGAGTTTTTATCTTTACTCATTTTGCCCATGTAAAATCAAAACGTAAAATCGTAGAGTTTACCTCATATATATATATATATATATATATATATATATATATATATATATATATATATATATATATATATATATATATAACTTCCTCATCATAGTAATTAGCATCGTTCTTGAGTAAATATAGGCTGTGAACTTTCTTGCATTCTTTATACTGACCTAATGAATAATCAACCCTTTTTCAAAATCCTCATATATCAAATCAATGCAATGGGTTACACATGGAGTCCAATACAAATTCTTTCGCTTTAGCACCAACAGTTCCCCACCAGCTTTGAAATTTGCAGCATTATCGGTGACCACTTGGATTACATTCTTCTCTCCTAGAAATTCAATCGCATCATCTAACATCTTACAAACATTATCAGTTGTTTTAGAAATATCAG